TGACTATTTGAATTAAGGGTTTTATATTTTTTTATGATGTTGCAGCAAATAGTAATGTTGCAGCTGAGACAATGAAGATGTGGGGACCACAATTTTTTTTTTTCTTTCCTCATATCATTTTCTCTTTTTTTTTTTTTTTTTTATTGTCTCAACTGCAAACTTTGAAATTATTGTTTGGTATAGCAATATAAAAAATATAAAACCCTTGAAGTAAAGGTAGTTTTAAATTTAAATTTTAAACAAAAGTTGACTACCTCAAGTAGCTAGCATCTTTTTAAGGACAAAATTATAGTTTATCTAAATAGGTCAAAGTGAACAATACGAGTTCGTGTAACCGACAACATTGGTATCAGAAGGATGGCCTGATATCTTCCCAACTTCACGATATTGCCATTTTTCCACTGCACAAGAATTCATATAGACCAATTAAGCTCTACTAAGAGCCCAAAGCAAGAAAACCTCTGCAAAACTTTCTCAAGTTAGGAATCATTTGAGAGCACAACCCACCAAAAGCACATAGACCTACAATTGTAAGGCTCATAGTGATAAAAGTCCCGTATCCAAAAAAAAGTCCCTATCATAAATTTGTGGGCTAAGCAAGAAAGATACAATTGAAAGAATTCATAAACTTAATTTCATAAGGTTTTGAGTTAGAGATGGAGAAAACTTATTTAGTGTGGGTTGTTGCTTAATACATTGGTTTTGGATGGTAATTTTCCCTATAATTTTGGGCTCTCTCTTGCTTAGTAACTTTGGCATCTATGTCAACCAAGTGTAATTGGCTGGACCGAATATCCGGAGTTGATGGATGAGTTTGAGTTTGACCTTGGACCCATATTATAAAACCAAGACTTACTCATTTTTTATGAGTAACTTCATCCTTTCGCTTGAGGAAAAGTTGACACTCGTATAACTCACACTTAAAAAGGAGATTGTTGAATCATACCTTATATAGTACTCTCTAAGTCTCTTATCAAAATAGATACTAACATATATAGATAGTTAAGCCTCTTTTAATTCTTCGCATTTGATGAAGATGAAATCCTATTTTTGTTGACTCCAAAGAATACGAGAATTAGACCTAAACCGTCTTTACTAAGATGCATTTTATTTTGTCTTCTATCTAATTTCTCATTTTGCTCAGATCATATTTATTCCTTTTGGATTCAGCCTGTAATGATCAGTCAACTTGCTAGAAATCACCTTATTTATAATGATTGCAATAGTGATGATAATATATATGTTTCCACAAAACCACAAGTACCATTCAATTGCGCTAAACAAAAAATTTATATCACACGCCAATTCGTGTCCATATGAGTAGCTCATTAGGTTAGTAGCGTCCCATACCACAATATTATGAAATCTTTTAATTTCACCCTCAGCCTTGCCCCCCTTGCCCATGAAAATTCTGCACCCACCATAACACATTCAGATCTAGCTAGGGATAGACAGAGAGCGCGAGGGGGCCACGGGCCTTCTGGCATTGAGAGAAATTAAACTGTCATGTAGCTCAAAAGCAATGACCCACTTGCCAATTTTGAAAAGTACTGTAATTTTGGACTTGCTCTGTATTACAGACAGCAAATTCACGATAATTTCTAATGAAGTCCCTTTCATTGACAGCATTGACGCTACCATCAAACGTGTACAGGAGTGATTTACAAACCGCATACGTAGCCTACTTCCTGATCGTAAAAATTACAATCATTATATATATTATCATTTAGGGACATATAGACAAATAAATAAAATAAAATAAATTAAACTAAATTAAATTCTTGTTTTAATTTTGTAGAAAAAGCTCTTCTATGTTCCTTATTGTTTATGGGCCATCAGTCATATGTCTCGGATAGAAGTATATATGGTACAGAAGGTTTATGTATATATATGTCTGAATTTTGCAGTTTGCTCTCTGGGATATTTTGCTGTGTTGGCTTCGTTGGATTTACTAATTAATAATATAACAGAGAACTCCTATCCATCAATTATCATATTTATCTGCACAGGACATCGAGAAAAAAGGGCCTTCAGTTTCTACGGTACATATGACTCGCCATCTATTTGCATTGTTATCATTTAGAACAACCAAACACAAGACTTAAGATGCTAATTGGTTTAAGTCGTGATCAAGCCGTTACGTGTATGACATCAAAGCATATATTACTGCACTTGAGATAAGGAAGTGATTTGGTTTTTTTTTTTTTTTTGAGATTAATCTCACTGGTTATTAAAAATCACCAAAGTAGAATATGGTATTTATATTGACAACAAACAATAATAATTTTCTAGCCATATATATATATATATATAGGGTCAGGATCATTTTACATCAGTGTAAGTTACACTCTCAATCTTGTCCGTTGATTCCATTTATAACTAAGGGCTCTAATTTTTTAGCAATGTGAGCCATTGGATACAAGTGGATCAATGATCAAGATTGAGTGTAAGACTTCTAATTCTTAGACTGGTGTAAGAATATCCTGCCCTGTATATATATATATATATGAGGAGAGATATTCTCACTAATAAAATTTTTCACTACCAACTGGCTACCTATCTAATCACCATTATATTAACATTTTCTCTCTCTTCGAACACTTTTTAACATTCTCTCTTTGATCCAATGGTGATGTGACGAGTAGTAAGTCACTAGTGAGAATTTTTGGTAGTTAGAATATTCTCACTATATATATATATATATATATATATATATATATATATATATATATATATATATATATATATATAGAAGGTTATATTTACAAACTGTTTTTTATAAACTCTCATAAATTACTATATGTCTGACCGGTAATACACTCTTGAGTAGAGTATTACCGGTCAGACATGGTGTAATTTGTAAATTTGTAAAAAAAAAGTTTGCAAACGGATCCTTCCCATATATATATATATATATTATGAAAAAAATATTTGTTCTTTTAAAGGACATAGAGTTGTGTCATTTTAAGAAAGAAAATACACAAACTAATATTATTTTATTTAAAATTTAAATTAAAAAAAGTCACTCACTTTCTGTGCCCCATGATTTATATCTATCTAGCACCGATACCGACACGGGACACGTGACACGATACGACACGACACGTTAATTTTAAAAAATGTTAGATTTCGACATGTTGAGACACGTTTTGATATTAAATAATATTTTTAATTTATGTAGTGTATATTATATTTAATATTCAATAATTTAACAAAAAAATAAAACTAAACTTATAATATTCATCAATTTTGCAAAGAAACATAAAATATCCCAAATATTTATATTAAACTCAATAAAATGGTAATCGTAATCCAACGAATCTAACAGTTGGAACTAAAAACTCAACGCAACGTAACCTTTGAACCTTTTTTTGAATTTCTATAACGCGTGTTGGAGTGTCGGGTAGTGTCGAAGTGTCAGAGAGTATCGGGAAGTGTCGGACACGAGACGTCAGAATTTTTGAGGTGTCGGTGCTTCATAGATTTATATTGCTTGTGTCTTTCTCTCACTTAAAATGACACAACTCTATATCCTTTAAAAGAACAAATATCAGACCATATATATAAGAAAAGTATGTATCCTTTTATGTATAAGAAAAGTATGTATCCTTTTAAAAGATTGTCCTTTTACGAGATTGATCATGGGGGAGAGTGAGAAAAAAAAAATCTCACACTCTCTCCCTCCCATAATTTATCTATTTCTCTCTCTTTAAAGTATATAATTTTATATCCTTTAAAAGAAGAAAAATGTTACTCTTCAGCCCGCAGAAAAGAGAAGTTATCTGCTTGATTCACATGCTTTTTAGGTTATGGGTTTCGTATCCTGAGTTTTTTTTTAAATTCTTAAAAAAAATCTCAAGATACGAAATCGTAACTTAAAAAACATGTGTCAGCTGGAGAGATCTCTCCTGCAACGTGAGATTAACATTAATAGAACCCTTAAAATAATATACGCTTGTATTTTGCTTTTGACAAACATATCACATGTGTGCAGTGCTAAACAGTACCGCTCGTGTACAAAAGAATTAAACTAAAAACTAAAGTCTACCTTTACAAAATTATTATAATATCAATCTATGGTTTACTTTACATTTTGTGCATACTCATTAACAAGAATCAATTATGGCATGATCATGTAAAAGTTTCGTACGTATCTCTCCCAGGATAGATAGACCCAAATTTTCACGTGACCGTGTGAGATTTTAAGACAATTCATTTCCGTCATTAACATATTAGCCACTGACATCTCTGCTTGTGGTTGATGATTTATGTTACTGTATAAAAGGAAAAAGGACTCAAGACTCGATTACGTCTTATACATGTTCCTCCGGAAATCATTGTCTTACTTACTTTCCCTTTTGTTACTTGCGAAGAGGGAGATGGTATCTATGTACATGAAAATAAACGATTATGGAGACTGAAGAGGTTAAAGCTTAAAAGTTGGATCTGCCGTTTCCCTAAAAAAAATCATTCTGCGGAGACCTGTCCATTTGCCTGCACCAGAATGCAATGCTTTTTGGCAACACTAAGGTCATCCACAAGGAGGTGTTCTTATGCAGCTCTTCTCTTTCACCTCGTGCCTATCCTCGAGCAATATAAGTAAAATACAAATTCCAACTATACTGTGCATACAGTTAGTAATCCAGTGGTAAAAACCTTGTGCAGATAAGGTTTTGTCTTATGTATGGGGTCAGCGTAGTAGCATTCCACACACTCCTGTTTATTTTGTCTTTTAACTTGTCTGTCATGAAGTCACGTGAATGTTTTATGTAGCGATGGCTTTTATTACAAAATGTTTGATCTCTCCCTTAAAATATAAAACAGAAGTATACAATTAAAAGATTTTCAGGTAATTATATATATATATATATATTAATTACTAATATACATTTAATGATATGAAATATTTCTTTTTCTTATTTTAGAAGCATACAAAAAATTCTCAATATACCTTAAGCTCTTATTAACTTATATCTCTTCCCTTAAAAGTTTGAATGACATTTACCATTCTTATATGCAACCTTTTTGCCTTCTCTTTTCTCTCTATCTTCTCTTCTCTCCCTCTCAGCCCTCTTCCACCTTTATTACTGGACAAAAGGAAACCGTTTCAGTGCTTGCACTGATCCATTTCTCTCTCTATCTCTGGCTTGGTTTGTCTGTGTTTGTGTGTTTTTATGTGTATGCGTCCATGATACCAGCTTATCGCCATTCAGTATCTTCTCTTATGCCTCTGGATCTTAATGAAGATCAAAACCATCAGCTGTTCACTCCAAACCATCAAGTTTCTTCTTCATTTTCTTCTCTTTCATATCCTATTTTCTATAACCCGCCGGATCAAGATAAAAAAGGATCATACTACGAGGAACCAAAGCACCTACCAAGTGATGAAGAGGTGATACATATATATTAACTAATTAAGATTTTTCTAGATAGTATTATTATATAGTAGCAGAATTAATCTCTTTCCCTCGTAATCTTTATGATCACTAGGGTATTATATATCTCTTTTATTTTGATACCTTTGATCATGTAATCTTTAGGGTGAGAAGATTATTCCTTCTAGCGGATCATGGGATCATCACTCAGTGGCTGAGAAGCACGAGAGTAGCAGTGAACACAAGATGACAGTTTGGAAGAAAGAAGAAAGAGATGAAAATCTTCAAGCAGCCGAGGATGGCTCAGTGAAGTGGATGTCTTCAAAGATGAGAATGATGAGGAAGATGATGGTGTCGGATCAAACGGGTTCTGATATAGCAGGAAACTCTATGCACAAGTTTGAAGATCAAAAGCAACCATTGTCACCGCTTGGAACTGATAATAGCAGCAACAATTACTCAAACCACAGTAATAACACTGTTAGGGTTTGTGCTGATTGCCACACCACTAAGACCCCTCTCTGGAGGAGTGGGCCAAGAGGCCCCAAGGTACATCCAAATCCCATAGCTCTAGGTTTTTCATTTTTATAATAACAAATCAATTATTTTTTAGATGTAACTGAGAATTGAATATATAACCTAATACAATCTATCCAAACCTCTCACCACTGGAACACATGCACCTAGTGGCTTATAACAAATCAATTATGCTCTTAACATTTTAGGCTCATACAAACTCAATAAGTAGAAGTAGAAGTAGAAGAATAGGGTTATTATTATTGTTATTATTGTTGTTATTTTGTTAACCATGATGTTGAAAATTTATTTTGGTGTAACAGTCACTTTGCAACGCATGTGGGATTCGACAAAGGAAGGCGAGACGTGCCTTGGCAGTGGCATCGGCAAATGGTGTTCACGTGGCAGCTGAGACATCTGTGAAAGGAAACAAGTTAAAGAAAAAAGAGAACAAGTCCAAAATTGTGTGTGCACCACAGATGAAAAAGAAGCGCAAGCTTAGAACCAAGCCATCTCAAAGTAGAAAAAAGTTAGGTTTCGAAGATTTTGCATTAAGCTTGAGTAACAACATGGCTCTCCAACAAGTTTTCCCTCAGGATGAGAAGGAGGCTGCAATCCTGCTCATGGCTTTGTCTTATGGCCTAGTTCATGGATGAGGTTTCTCCATTAATATACGCTACACCTTCACCGCTTCACTTTCAGATCGTTAATTAATTAGGTTTTTGATATTGCTATCTTAGGACTATTTTAATTAGAACATGATTGTGTCAGATTAAAGGTTTGTGCTGTACGAGAAGAGAATGTAATAAATTAAGTTAGTGAGAAATGATAATAGGAAAGAAGAGGGAAGAAAGGGCAATAAACTTGCATATGGTTGAGGGTGATCTTATGAACTTAAATTATATATATGTTTGATTTGAACAAGTAGACCACCAAAAAATTGTGGGTCTCTTGTCATGGATTTCTTATTATCTTAACAAGTTCAATAAAATTTTCAAGGATTTTATGCTAAACTTGTCATTGCTTAATTTTGTAGTGATCTGATTATATTCATTTTAAACGCATGCTCTTAATTTGTGTAAACTAGTCGCTACAATATATGTTGGCAAAGTTACTATATAATAAGGAGTGTTCAGATACCGTTTAATCAATTGCTGTAAAGTTGAGCATAATGTTATGGCTGTACTCAGAGTTTCAGATGAGAAAGCAACAGGACTACTTTTTCTTTTTCTTGTTTTTTTTCCCATGTTCTTTCGTCTTCCTATAGATATCGCCCTTCCCCACGGTTCTCTTTAAAAGTTTTTAATATCACATTGACCTAAGGAGCATCTCAATCATGACAGTGAAGAATCATGTTTGGGACGCAACATTTAGTATTGATATATACATTGTGTGCTTCATAATAAATATAATATATATGAACACCTAAGTGGTGTGTGGACTCTTCACATACAGAAATAGAATACAAGAGCGGCGACTAAACAATGGAAAACCTTGTATAGTGGCAATAATTATAATCCTCCGATGTTGAAGACACTCTGACAGTGTAATTTGTTACTCTGATTTGAAATTTCTCTTTGGGAGTAGTGTACCTTTTAGGCTTTCTGACCCTCAGAGGACAAGTCAGAATTTTTGTTTATTTTTTTGCAAAATGGTGTATTCCAGTATAATACTTCTTAGGTAAAAAAACTCACCTTTTTGTGTTGCGAGTTATAAAAAACAAAATCAAGGGACTGACATGTGGTGCGATCTATTTGGTTTATAGAATTATTGAAAAAAAAAAAATAAGTTCGTTTTTATTACTCATTTTTTAATGGTTCTGCTATTACAACTAAGTTTTTAGGAGAGCTGAAAAATTCTCAATTAGTTTAACAAGAATTAATATCATTGTTTTATTTCAAAAATTACTTTAAAAGTCATTATATTTTATATTATTAAATAATAAAAAATTATACATATAATGATAATCTTAATTTTTAAAGTTATTTCGTGATGATGATAGTTATCAATCACAAATTATAAAAAAAAAATACGTACTTTAAAAATAATTAAATTACATTATTTATGTGTGTTTGTGTGTGAAGAATGTATTAATTTTAGTTGATAGTTGTATTTTTAAGATATTTCTATTTCATGCATGATTTGAGTGTATTTATAATTTTTTTAAAAAATATTTTACAATTAAAAAATAATTTACTAATTAGTTCTTGTGGAGCTATCAAAATAGGTCAATCTGGGGCTTGGGTCAAAAAGTTGGCAAAACCAAATGAACCTCAGTAATAAAGGTCTGCATGGGCCAAAAGCCCTATGACTTAGGATCAGCCTGCGGGCCATGCAAAATTATAATTTCATAAATATTTTTATCATATTCATTACATTAAAAATTATTTTAACAAATAAATATTTAACACTTTCTTAAATATTTTATACAAATTTTAATATTTTTATAATTTAATTTTTTAATAAAATAATATTTCTACACAAATTTACAAGTGAAAATGTAAACGAAATTTTAATATAAGTGAAAATTTAGTTACTACCTTTGCTAAATTCATTATTAAAGGATGTTATCAAATAAATATTTTTTCATCAGGAGTCATAACAGAATACAACAACTTTAATGAAAAACTAAAAGTAACAATGAAAAATTGATCGTAATACCAATATTGAATAACTGCTCTTAGTATGCTATATATTTAAAAGTAAAATCATTAATTTTCTTCAATTACTACTGTTACAAAAAGACTTTTTAATTATTATTATTATCCACAAAATTACTATGGTGCATTGTAGACAATATGTTTCAATACAAATTTGGATATATAAAATACTTAGATGCCAATAGAAAATTTCATTTTTATTATTACGCATATGAAATTCTCTTTTGAAACATATAAATATTGAAAAATTTATTTTTGTCATAAAATATTATAAATAACCTTTCACATGGTTCATAACATGTGACTCTTTGTTTTTTTATGACTTTTGATGTATTCTATAACCATCTCACTAATGATGTGTTGAATTATGAAATACATCCAAGGGGAGTGTCGTAAAATATTATGGATGATCTTTCAGATGGATTATATATGACTTTTCACATGGTTTATAACATGTGACTCTTTGTTTTTATGATCTTTGATGTATTCTATAACCATCACACTAATGGTGTGTTGAATTGTAGAATACATCCAATGGGGACTTGGGGAGTTTGTAAAATATTATGGAAGACCTTTTGCATGGTTCATAACATATTACCTTTGATGTATTTTACAACCATCACACTAATGGCGTGTTGAATTGTAATTATTTCCCTAATTATGTTTAGAGTCCTATATTAGGACATATCTTAGGTGAAAAAAGTGATACTTGGTGAATTTAGAATATAATAATATTTCCATACTTCTGAGAGCTCATATTTGTTCTTATCTTATTTTTTCTTTATTTTCTTTCTACACTTCATTTTTTTCCCTTCATATTTCACTTTCTCTTATATTTTCCATCAGATTCACAAATTTTTTTACTTATATTATGTTTATAATTTATTTTATATTTATAAATATTTAAATTTATATATTTTTTAGTTTTTTAAATAATGAAAATTGTGATGAAGAAAAAAATTTGGCCCGCGGGTCAGCCCTAACACAGTCTGCTAAATTATAGGACTTTTAGGGTTAGAGCAAAATTATAGGACTTTTAGGCCCTGTTTGGAGCACCTGATAAAGAAGATAGGATAGGATAATTTATCATATCCTACTTTTATCTCTTGTTTGGTGGGTCAATAGGATATGATTAGCTTATCCTATTGTCACATTTTATCCTATCCAATATACGATTTCTTATTCTATGGGGGGAGCTGGGTTAGGATTCAACACGATAGGATATCAATATTGATACTCAATATATCCTCACGCTACCCAATATATCCCCACGATATCCAATATATTTATATTTATTGCATTATATTTTATTTTTCTTTCTCCTTTCTCTTTCTACATAATCTTATCAGATTGCTAATCAGGTGCTCATCAAACACAAGACATGATATAAGCTTATCAGCCTCATATGATATCCTACCCTTATCAACTCCATATCATATTCTACCCTTATCAGCTCCATATCATATCCTACTCTTATCATATCCTATCCACCAAACGAGCCCTTAGGATTATAGAAAAATTATAGAACTTTGAGGGTTATGGCTAAAAAAGGTCCTACCATAAAAATATAGGGCTTTGCACCCGCGAGTTTCAGCCACACTTCTACTTGGGATATTGTTGAAAACACAAAGAGGAAATTGTTTATAATTAATGATTTTTTTCTTGTTATAAAAAATTTGGGTCCAAATTCGAGGATTACATTCTTTACATAAAAAAAATTAAAGGAAACAAAAAAGACAAAAAATAAATGAGCATTTTTCAATCATTGCACGTAGAGGTGTCAATAGGGGTGAAACTGGGCCGGGCCGGCCCACAGGGGCCTACGGCTCGGCCTACATCTGGCCAAACCTGACCTAGTATATTTTGTATAATTGGCCGAGCTTGGACTTTAAAAAAGCCGTAGGCCCACTTTCAAAAGGTCGGGCCTATAAGCCTACAGGCCGGCCTATATTGTATTATTTATTTTAAATAAAATAAAATAGAGTAAGTATGTCTTGAAGAAAAAACAAAAGTTATAAATTTAATCAATTACAATTATTTATAACTTAATTATATTCGATTATATTTTAATAGAAATCTTACTTTATTTCTTATATAGGAGGAACCAACATCTCAACATGTTAGATTGTGTATATGAATATATTAAAAGATTTTTGGGTGAGGTTGTACTTACTACAAGCATCATGATGTGTTTGTTGGATTCATGTAGTTATTTTAATTTACATAGAATGAATTTGTTTGTTAGATCTGATGAAATATGTTATTTAGTTTGAACATTTTGCTTTTGAAAATGACTTAAATGCATATTGTATGAGTTTTGTTATGATTCGTGATTCTGTTTGGACGTTGAAATTATGATTTTTGGTGTAGCAACATAATTTGAGTACTTTGTAAAGTTGATTTATGGTTCTGCTTGGAAGTTAAAAATTAACAGGCTAACGGGCCAAGCCAGGCCATTTGTTTTTTTATAAACGGGCCAAACCAGGCTAACAGTTAGACTCATACTAGGCTTGGGGCAGGCCAAATTAAAATTTATTGACGTAGGCTTGGGCTTTTCGGGGAAAACTTGGCCCAACCCAGCCCACTTTCACCCCTAGGTGTCAATATAGGTTATGACACGTGGGTCGACCCGCGACACGACACGAAAATTCGTGTTCGGGTTGACCCGTAAAAAAATTCGTGTCATGTTCGTGTTGGAAAAAATGACACGTAAAAAATTCGTGTCGTGTTCGTGTTAAGGTATTCGTGTTCGTGTCGACCCATATTTTTTTTAATTATTCTATTTTTATTTTTTAAAATTTTTTTAAATTTTGTTGTCAATTATCGTTTTGACTCCTATTTTGCGTGTTATTCGTGTCGTGTCGTGTCAACACGCAAAAAATCTGTGTCGTGTCAGTGTTGAAGATTTTGACACGAACAAAAATTTATGTCGTGTTCGTGTTGATGTATTCGTGTCGTGTCAACCCGTTTTGACACCCCTAATTGCACGTGTCTTTAATTACATTCTCAAATCATATTTATGTGTCTCCACTTATTGGGAATTTTTCACGCTACCAAAATGTTAATGATAATAATACAATAACATTAAAAAATAACCTTAGATGAAATGAAAAATTGAAACCTATGATAGTTAATGATTGCACAGACTGCAAATATATACCTCAAATATAAATTTTTTTTTGGGGAAACTGGTGGCTTTTTCACCCTTTTGCCCCTTATTAATTAATTAATAACCATTTTGCCCTTGATTCGAAACTATCTACCAATCTGCCCCTCTTTAATCGACTACCTTGCATTTTTAATCGACTAAACGGTTGTTGGGAGATTTAATCGAC